TTATTACAATAAGGTTTTATTTTATTAAAATGACACAACCTTCTAACCAAAGCCAACCCTTCATTCTTTTCGTTCGATAAGGCATTTATATTAATTCAAAATTTCAATGGTTCTAGAACACATTTGCTTAATTTTATAGACGTTGTAGACTTTGTTTACAGTCGTTTCGATCCTCAGGAACAACAATAGATTTTTCAATTTATTGTAAAAGCTAAATTGGAAAGTCCTGCTTTAGACCACATAGCTTCATTGGAACTAAACGACTGGCAAACAATAAAGAACGAATTATTAAAGAAATTTGGCGAATCACTCGATATTCACAGTTTAACTTACGAAATGGTCCACTTAAAACAAATGGTTAATGAAAAGCCACTTCAGTATGTTCAGCACGTCGAAAATCATTTGCTTCGAATCCACAAAATTATCAAATATAATACTGCATACGATATATCTACTAGAACTGTTTTACGACAATACCATGAAAAATCCGCTCTTCTAACCCTTATGAATGGTGTAAAAGACCCTCTTTGCACGACCATCCGTTTACAAAAACCTATATCAATAGTAGAACTAATAAATTTAATAAATGATTTCGAGAATCAGCAATTTATGCTGACACAACAAACTAGTTCTCGTTTTACTAAATCGACCACACAAATTCCAGCTCAGCAAAATGTTGCCCTTTCTTATCCTCAAACTTCTTTAAATAAACCCGTAATAAATCTTCTCATAAAAATTTTTTCTTTTTGTAATAATCTCGGACATAATGTAGAGTTTTGTTATGCTAAACAAAATCACGTAAAAATTAAAGACAAACGTTGCAAAAAATATCCTCTCAATATAGTAAAGTTTCCACATAGACACTTTGATAAAATTTTCCTCAACCTCCTAATTATCGATAAAACATTTATATTAACGGTTATTGATAATTTAACACAATACGCTCAATCTTACTTGCTAAAGAATAAGACTGGAAAAACAATAGTTAATAAACTAAAAATGTTTATCCAACATTATCAGATTCCTCGAGAGCTCTATAATGACAATGGAACTGAATTTGTTAACAAACAGGTAAAAGATTTTTGTAGTAAGTTCCGTCGAACACTCACATTCAGTGAGAATCATTGAGAGGTTACATCGCGCAATTGCAAACACTTCTTTCTTTTTCTTTCTCAGCCTGGTTCCATCCAGTGTTGGATATAGGCCTCTTCTAGGTTTTTCCATGCTTCGCGATCTCTAGCCAATCTTATCCATTGTCTTCCCGCCACTGCCCTGACGTCATCGACCCATCTCTTTTTTGGTCGGCCCATACTCCTGGTTGTTTCCCTAGGTCTCCATAGGATTACTTTTTGGGGCCATCGGTCTGAATCCTGTCTTGCCACATGTCCTATCCATTGCCACTTCAGACTTGCCACTCTTTTAACGACATCTATTAATTTTGTTTTTTGACGTATGTGGGTATTCCGTATTTTTTTCTCTAATATTGACTCCCAACATGATTCTTTCCATGGCTCTTTGTGCTACTCGTATTTGTTCTGCTGTTTTTCGAGTAATTGACATAGTCTCTAAGCCATACGTAAGCACAGGTAGAATGCAGCTGTCGTAAGCTTTTTTCTTTAGGTTCATGGGCACCTTTTTATCCTTGAAAATATTGCTCATATTTCCAAATGCTACCCATGCCAAATGGATCCTGCGTTTGATCTCCGTATTTTGGTTTTCCTTGCCCAGCTTGATTTTATGACCTAAATATATATATAATGGTCTACGTTTTCAATAATAACGTTGTCAACGGTAATGTTATGGATATTGTTGCTCATTATCTTGGTCTTTTTCAAATTCATTTTAAAGCCAATTTTCTGGGATTGGTCATTTAGCTCATTTAGCATGGTGTTTAGTTCTTGAATGTCGGTGCTCAGCAAGACAATATCGTCTGCGAACCTCAGATGGCTAAGGTGTACCCCATCGATGTTTAGACCTCTATTTTCCCATTCTAATTTCTTGAAGACATTTTCCAGTGCCAGTGTAAATAACTTGGGAGAGATGGTATCTCCTTGTCTCACGCCCTTGCCGAGTAGTATTTTTTCTGTTTTGAGGTCATCATCTAATTTAACTTGGAAGGTTGCACTATCATAGATATTTTTAATAATGGAATAATATCTGGAATCAATTCTCGCGTCCTCCATTGCAGCTAGAAATGACCAGGTTTCGATGCTGTCAAAGGCTTTTTGGTAGTCTACAAAGGCCAGCCTTTTTCGCCTTGCAAACACTATTCGCTGTTATTTGAATGAAAATCAAAATAATAAATTAACTGACGCGTTACTTATTGCAATAAACTCATACAATAACTCTAAACAAACTTCAATAGATTTATCTCCGAGAGAAGTTTTATTTCCTCGTTCAAATATTCTCGATCCCTTAGAGTCTAAGCAGATTGCTGTGCAGCAGGTAGAAATAATTCAGTTAAGACAATTAGCTTTAAGACAAAAGTCCAAAACTCATTCCGACAAAATGTTATCTAAACGTAACTACCCGGGAAATAACGTTGATCAGTTGGTATCAATTAAAAGAAACGCCAATTCTGAGAAATTAGAAGAATATCCTGGGGTCATTCAAAATTATTGAAATAAATAAAAAATAAAACTGCTCTAAAATCCTAAAATATCATTTTGATTAAATAAAACTGTTATATTTTGTATATAAAATTTCCAAATTTTTAAATAATCAGTTTGTATGGCGCATTTCATGCGAGCATCATTAAACGAGTTTTCCTTACATCAACATCGTACCTTCAGATGTCTATCGTGATACCTGCTACCTCCTGCTACCTCACAGAAACAACAAGAACTTCCCTGCAAGAACTTCACTACAAGAACTTTTCTCCTTACGAAAAGTTCTTCCTTTGGAAAGGGAGGTGTTATGTATGTGACAGTTTGTGGCCCCATCGGATTTAGTGTCGAGTGTCGACGCATCGATATAAGTGGTTCACGGAATACGGTTCGTTAGGCCTGGACTATATATGAAACTATAATGACAGCTTTCAAGTATCTATTTTTCTTAAGAGCGACCCTGCGAGGTCCCATTCTACCCTAATGTAGGTAGATTCATCTTGACCGTCGTAACGTACACAGCTTTTTGTATTCTTATTGTTTTTCGCCTTGCTATTTTTGTTAACACTAGCTATTTTTGTTTGGGAACACGAGAGGCCTTATTCTGTTTACAATTGATGGCGCAGAAGTGTACAGACCAACAAAAACCAATGTATGTGTGTTTCGTAGATTTCGAAAAAGCATTCGATAGAGTCAAACATACGAGACTTATCGAAATGTTGTATGAGTTGGGAGTTGACAGCAAAGATGTAACACTTCTGAAAAATATATATTGGCAACAAACAGCCCACATGAAAATCGAAAATGACAATTCCAATCCAGTCAATATACAGAGATGAGTAAGACAGGGATGTGTGCTGTCTCCTTCGTTATTTAATGTTTATTCTGAGGCGATTTTTCGGGAAGCTTTCCCTTCAACAGATTGCGGTATTAAAGTCAACGGCGAAGTCATTAACAACATTAGATTTGCCGATGACACAGTTCTTATTGACGATTCTGATACTGGTCTCCAGAGTTTAATGGAACGACTTGAAGGCTCCTGTAAGAAATACGGGATGAAGATCAATTCTCTTAAAACTAAAGTCATGATATTTGGAAAGAACCAAAATGTACCAATTCCTATTAAAATAGAGGGCAGTACCTTAGAACAGGTCTACAAGTTCAAATATTTGGGGTCCTGGATAGTTAACACCTTGAACAACGACGTGGAAATAAAAACCAGAATAGAACAAGCGAGAAATGCATTTTAAAAATGAAGAACGTCTTCCAGAACCCCAGATTGGACCTAGAGTTGAGAACTAGGCTCGTTAAGTGTTATGTTTGGTCAATCCTATTATACGGAGCAGAAACATGGACACTGAAAGTTCAAGAGATGAATCGTCTCGAATCGTTCCAAACATGGATATATCGAAGAATGCTTAAAATTCCATGGACAGCCCATATCACAAATACCGAAGTCTACAACAGAATAGGCAGAGAGAGAGAATTGCTCAATATAATAAAAATAAGAAAAACATCATACTTAGGGCATATATTGAGAAATGAAAAATACCACGTCTTACAATTGATAGTTAAGGGTAAGATTGAAGGAAAGAGAGGTCTCGGCAGGAAGAAACTATCTTGGTTGAGAAACATCAGAAACTGGATTCACCTAACTTTTGAACAACTTATAAGGAAAGCCGAGAATCGTGAAGATTTTGCCAATGTGATCGCCAACCTCCACGAAAGGGCCGTCTCTAAGAAGAAAAAGATTTTTGTTAAAGTGAATAAAATTAATTAAATCCAACTGGAAGTCGATTTTCATTTATTATAACTCCCTTAAATTATAAAAACACTAATTACCCACGCTCTGAGACTTTCTACTGAACTGTTCTTCGTCTTTCCTGCTAACTACGTTTTCAATCGAATACTTAATGCGTATCGGCTTTACAAGAAGTCACGTGACGTGGCCTCATTTTTTACTAAATATATGCAATTATACTACAAGATTGTATTTCTGATTTAAATTTAATTTTTAAACTCACAAAACTCATGGTGAAAATAATTTCGTTTTTTAATAATCATTTAGTATTAATAAACTGTTTTGTAAAATTACATTTTTTGTGAAACTATGTAAAAATATCTTACTTTTTACAAGTTTCTTATTAAAAATACTATAATATATCAATATATTTTTTGTAAAATTACTTATATTTTTTTCAGTGTATCGGCTGAACATGAACCAATTTAGAGAGACATTTAAAAATTTTCAAATGTGACTATCATGTGGCCCCTGTAGATTGGCGTGTGTGTTGATTGTTGATTTGCGGCTTTATAACAATAACAAGTACTGGTTTTTAATGAATACTAAATAACTTGATTCTAGAGAGTGGATAAATTAAATAATATAGACAATATAAAATGACAATCATTGGTATTTATTATTTATTAATTTTATTAACATTTAAGAAAATGAGTGTTCTAGAGTTCTGGATTTTACTAATAGGAATATACATGATAACTAATAACATATATAGTTTTCCAGTGGCTCAAGAAGAAAAAGAAAATGTGAGCAATATTTCTGCAATTTTACATAATTTGCGTATGGTAAGTGAAATTCAAAAAATACATATTGTTAGTAGGCATACTATTTAAAATTACTAAAAAAGTGGAAGTTCTCCTGTATATTTTCTATACGTACTCATTTTCACTTAAGAATCAAATTTTTGAAACTTTACCTTTTTATACAGTGTGTTTCAAAAAACATGTGCCATCTCTCGTATGGAGATTCCTCACGTAAAAAAAAAGATTTATTTTATATACAGGGTGGCGCACCTCATTCGCCTCGCTTGATTATACGAAAACGGAAAGATTTAGAAACAAAATATTTTATAGTTATATGTGGGGAGACAATGTGCAAATTTTAAAATTATTTTGATATATACAGGGTGTTTCAGAACTAAGATCCATACCAAAGTAATATTTTTTCTTATGGAACATCCGGTATTTTATTTCATTTTGGGATTCTTGGGCCCAAAAAAAGGTATTTATTATAAGGCTTAAATATGTCTAAAATCTTTGGTTCTTGAGATATTTAAAGATATTTCAATTTGCATGCTACAATAGAATAGACTATTAACACCCTGTACATTACTTTTCAGAGTTAATTCTAATGCTGAGTTTAAAGGTAGAGAAATAAACTTTACTGAAAAATGGTATTGGTTCCTTAAATTTATACAGGGCTATCAAAAGTTGCTGATCTATTTTAAAGATATATTTTATATAAAAACTTCGTTATTTCAAGTACAACATCCAGTATTTTTTTTAAATAAGTCGAAGCAGATTCAAATGCTCTTTCAAACTCTATTAGGGTTTCCTATACCTATCTAGCTCAGATTTTCAATTAAAAGCGATTTTTAAATAAAATTACAACCAAGATGGCTGGTTTCGCCATGGCAATTTTCTAGTGACTGTTAGTAACTATTTTCAAAGTCGACATTAGTTTATGGACATTATTATTTATAATTTATAACAGTTTACTTAAATTTCCCTACAATAGTTTAATAACTAAGTATTCATTATTTTATCAAGAAAAATAAAGCATTATCTGCTAGCGGAACGAATAGATATGTTACTAGTGATATTATTTTGTGAGGAAAATTGCTTCTTGGCCTCAAAGATATCCAAATAGGAATCTTCCTGATAGGCGTTTCTTTGAAAAACTTCTTGTCCTATTTCGCAGAGCTGGTAGTGTGGTTTATAAAAAAACCTATTAGGCAGAAACCTGTCGTTGGAAGTGAATAAAATGAATTTGCCGTAACTGGCTATTTTATAGAAAATCCATATATCTACAAGTAATCGTAAAATAATTCAAAAAATTACTTCTTCGTTTTTCTTGATAGAATAATATACACATCACATAAATATTTAATAAATATTATTTATTAAACTATTGTAGGTAAATTTAAGTAAACTGTTACAAATTATAAAAAATAATGTCCATAAACTAATGTCGACTTTGAAAATAGTTACTAACTGTCACTAGAAAATTGCCATATGGCAACACCAGCCATCTTGATTGCAATTTTATTTGAAAATCGCTTTTTATTGAAAATATGAGCTAGATAGGTATAGGAAACCCTAATATAGTTTGAAAGAGCATTTGAATCTGCTTCGATTTATTTAAAAAAATACTGGGTATTGCATTTGAAATAACGAAGTTTTTATATAAAATATATCTTTAAAATAGATCAGCAACTTTTGATAGCCCTGTATAAATTTAAGGAACCAATGCCATTTTTCAGTAAAGTTTATTTCTCTACCTTTAAACTCAGCATAAGAATTAATTCCGAAAAGTAATGTACAGGGTGTTAATATCTATTCTATTGTAGCATGTCAATTTAAATATCTTTAAATATCTCAAAAACTAAAGATTTTAAACATATTTAACCCTTATAATAAATGCCTTTTTTTGGGCCCAAGAATCCAAAAATGAAATAAAATATTGGGTGTTCCATAAGAAAAAATATAACTTTGGTATGGATCTTAGTTCTGAAACACCCTGTATATTTCAAAATAATTTTAAATTGTGCACATTGTCTCCCCACATATACCCATCAAATATTTTGTTTCTACATCTTTCCATTTTCGTATAATCAACCGAGGCGAATGAGGTGCGCCACCCTGTATAAACATAGGCCCGATTTTGCTTTGTTTCTTAGCTACAGGATGTTAATAAGGAGGTCAAGGTCACAAGTCTACAAGAGGTTAAAATAAAGAAAACAAAAATTTTCGATTTATTTTATTTTCCTTCTAAGTGCTTTTAGTGATTCGAATGAAATTTTGAGGGATTAAAAATAAATAAAGGTTGCTCTTGGTTGGACAAAATATCGAGAAATAATTTTTACATTAAACAGCCTACAGCATTTTGTTAACAAGAGAAAAAAAAAATCACGTTTGATGAAACATGTGATATTTCACATGTTCACACAATCACATTTTTAGAAAAATATTCTGGTAATAATATGTAATAATATAATAAAAGTAAAATAGTAAAATGTGTCGCACTTATAGTAATAACTTTTAGCCTCAAGATTTCATACGGACATTAAAACGAACACTTTGAAGAAAATAATAATAAATCTAAAAAAATATTTTAACCCCCTGTAGCTACGAAACAAAGCAGAATCGGACCTATGTTGGTCCGATTGTGCTTTGTTTCTATGATAAAGTATTACGCGAGGGTCGCGAGGAATCTCCCCATGAGACATGGTACATGTTTTTGAAACACCCTGTATGTAATGAAGTATTTAAAAATTCGTAAATGTATTTGCAGTTCGTTAGGATAATGAATTTTAGATAAAATGAATCTTTAAAATGTTCACTATCCAAAGATATCTTGACATATTCTCTATACAGGGTGGCGCACCTCATTCGCCTCGGTTGATTATACGAAAACGGAAAGATGTAGAAACACATTTTTTTGTGGGTATATGTAGAGAGGCAATGTGCATAATTTAAAATTATTTTCAAATGTACAGAGTGTGTCAGAACTGAGATCCATACCAAAGTTATATTTTTTTTACTGAACACCCGGTATTTTATTTCATTTTTGGATTTTTGGGCATAAAATAAGGCATTTATTATAAGGGTTTAATATGTTTAAATGCTTTGGTTTTTGAGATATTTAAAGATATTTAAATATGCATGCTATAATAAAAAAGTTTGTCAACACCTTGTACATTACTTTTCAGAATTAATTCTGGTTCTGACTTTCAAGCCAGCGAAATAAACTTTACTAAAAAATTTGATTGCTTCCTTAAATGTATACAGGGGTATCAACAATTGCTGGTGTATTTTAACTATTTATTTTACATAAAAACTTCGTTATTTCAAATGCAACATTATGTATTTTTTAAATAAATTGAAGCAGATTTAAATGCTCTTTCAAACCATATTAGGGTTTCTTATACCTATCTGCCTCAGATTTTGAATAAAAAGCGATTTTTCAATAAAACTGTAATCCAGATGGCTGGTGTCACCATGGCAATTTTCTAGTGACACTTAGTAGCTATTTTCAAAATCGACATTAGTTCATGTATTTTATTTAAATTTATAACAGGTTATTTTTATTTTATTTACCTACAATAATATTAATAAGTAAGTATTTATTATTTTATCAAGAAAAATGAGGCAGTATCTGCTGGCGGAAGGAATGCATATCTTACAAGTGATTTTATTTTGTGAGGACAATTGCTTGTTGGCCTGAAGGGTTTATACTCAAAGATATCCAAATAGGAATCTTCCTGAATAGCGTTCCTTTAAAAAACTACTTTTCTTATTTCGCAGAGCTGATAGTGTGGTATATGAAAAACCTATTAGGGAGAAACCTGTCGTTTGAAGTGAGGAAAATGAATTTGCTTTAATTGGTTCATTTATAAAAAATCCAATATATCTCCAAGTCATCGTAATATAAATCAAAGAACTACTTCTTTATATTTCTTGACAAAATAATAAATACTTACTTATTAAACTATTGTAGGTAAATTAAATAAAAGTAAACTGTTATAAATTTAAATATAGTCCATAAACTAATGTCGATTTTGAAAATAGCTACAAAGCATCACTAGAAAATCGCCGTGGCCATCTTGATTACAATTTTATTGAAAAATCCCTTTTTATTCAAAATCTGAGCCAGATGAGTATAGGAAATCCTAATACAGTTTGAAAGAGCATTTAAATCTGCTTTGACTTATTTACAAAAATACTAGTGTTGCATTTGAAATAAAGAAGTTTTTATGTAAAATAAACATTTAAAATAGACCAGCAATTTTTGATATCCTTGTATACATTTAAAAAAGCAATCAAATTTTTTAGTAAAGTTTATTTCTCTGGCTTGAAAGTCAGCACCAAATTAATTCTGAAAAGGAATGTACAGTGTGTCCCATTTTGGTTGAAATCATAGTGTATCTCCGTTATTAGTGAAGATAGAAGGGTGCGGTTTACACAAACCTGTCCCACTTTTTCGTCAAACGGAAGATGCTGCAAACAAAATTTTCATAGCCCTCTTCATTTCTGAGCTACAGGGTCTTTTCGAAAATTTTGCAATTTGGTACACCCCCTGTATCTCTGTTATTGTTAAAGGTATCGAGAAGGCGAAAACTGCTTATTGTAGAACTTTTTACGTAGAATACAGTGGCGTAGTTTGTTTTTCTACCAAAAAAATATTTTTGAAAATATGAACTAAAGTTATGCTTTTTCAAATGGAATACCCTGTATATTTATAAATCATATGATCTGTCTTGCTATGAGCTTCTCAAAAATATATATATCACTCTATATTTATTTTCACTATTTACTGCAATATTTAAAATATATCATTTTCTGATTAGTAGGCCGTGATAAATAACAAAAAATCAAAATGGTATTTACTAAAATAGTCATACACATATTAAAATTTATTTGGGATTGATATATTTTACTTTTGAAATAACTGTTACCACTGAAACTGTGAATATATTTTTTTTTTTTTATAACGGGATGGGTTTGCAAATATCTAAATCTTGAATTATTAAAGCATTTTTCAGGTGTTCGACATTGTTGTAGTGCCTACGATATATTTCGTATTTCAAAAATTCCCAAAATCAGAAATCGAGAACGGCGAAATCCGGGAATCGAGGAGGCTATCAATATGCGTTCATTGGTTCCAATTCATTGATTTGAAAAATAATAATTTAACAGTATTCTAATATTTCCATAGTTATGAGGGGAATGTTCCCCATCTTGCTGAAAGTATATTTCACGTAAATTAGCTAAAGGAATATCTAAAATTTCCGATACGTTAGATTATTCTTATGTATACACGTATTCCAAGATTTACAAATAGCGGTAGAGAGTTAAGTTTCCCTAATATATAAAGAATTTATTAGCGGCTCCCAAAATAAAACAAGAGACAGATAGCAGTATACTTTTAATAATTCTTTAGTTTCTTTTATTATCAATCATGGCCTACTAATAAATATGATGTTTTAATAAAAACTTTTAAATATTACAGTAAATAGTGAAAATAAATATAGAGTGATATATATTTTTGAGAAGCTTATAGCAAGACAGATCATATGATTTATAAATATACAGGGTGTTCCATTTAAAAAAAACATAACTTTAGTTCATATTTTCAAAAATATTTTTTAGGTAGAAAAACAGACTACGCCACTGAATTCTACGTAAAAAGTTCTACAATAAACAATTTTCACCTTCTCGATAGCTTTAACAATAACAGAGATACAGGAGGTGTCCCAAATTGCAAAATTTTCAAAAAGACCCTGTAGCTCGGAAACGAAGAGGGCTATGAAAATTTTGTTTACGGCATCTTCCGTTTGACAAAAAAATGGAACAGGTTTGTCCAAACCGCACCCTTCTATCTTCACTAATAACGGAGATACCGTATGATTTCAACCAAAATGGGACACCCTGTACAATGTGTTGACAAACCTTTTTATTATAGCATGCATATATAAATATCTTTAAATATCTCCAAAACCAAAGCTTTTAGACATACTAAACCCTTATAACAAATGCCTTATTTTATGTCCAAGAATCCAAAATTGAAATAAAATACCGGGTGTTCCATAAGAAAAAAATATAACTTTGGTATGGATCTTAGTTCTGGCACACCCTGTACATTTCAAAACAATTTTAAATTATGCACATTGTCTCTCTACATATACCCATAAAACATTTTGTTTCTACATCTTTCCGTTTTCGTATAATCAACCGAGGCGAATGAGGTGCGCCACCCTGTATATGTAGAGAGATAAAAATATTGGGATATTATTTAATTATAGGATTAATCAACAATTTTATCTTGTTTAGCTAATCAATAGTACTACACCAGAAGAAGAAGAAGAACTTAAAGGTATAGTAGAACAGAAAGTATGTATGTTTATTAAATTTGATATAAAATATAATAATTATAATTTTATTATTTTTCTTCTAGGGTATAGTTAGCTTGCCATGTAAATCACCTTTGGTTTCAGGACATGATGGACAATGCAGAACATTAGTAGATTAATTATTATATTTTTAAAATATTTAAATAATAATGTTACTATCTCTTTACTATACCGGTGTTGCATCGTCGGACGGGACATAGGAAATCCCATGTAAATTTTAATGAGGTCAATTATTGGCTTCCCTAATTATTTTAGAGAATAATTCTATTTAGGTTTATTGAAGAGCACTAAAACCCACATTTCAAAAGAATAACTTTAGATATTTTTGATTAGCTCGTTTTCGAGTTATCGCCGATTTCTTTTTAAATATTTCTCCTTTCTTATGGCCATGTATTTACTATTGAGCACCAGTCAAGGTAAAAGATAACTGTCAAATGAAGTTGTCATTTCAGAAATTTACCTATTTAGTGCTTATTATTGAAAACTCATTCCTACATCGGAAATCTTAAAGATGTATTTATAAATACAAATTAATATGAATTAAAGTAAAATAAAGTAATCAATTACAAGGTTAGTTATAGTATTATTACAATATTCAATAACTTATTAATTTAGGTACTATTAAATTGTTAGAACTTTAGGATTTAAGAAGATGTTCAAATATTCCTCCCTCGACTGCTAGACAATAACCCAGACGATCATAAAATTCTCTTCTTACATTCGCTAGTTAGTAAACTGAAATTCTATTGCATTCCGCAGAAATAGCACTTTTTAACTCGTCTAGATTTGGGTATTTTTTTATCCTTGTATATCCTGTTTATTAAATGGCCCCAGAGAAAGAAATCATTTGGCGAAATATCAGGAGACCTGGCTGGCCAATTTACTATATGATTTAGGCCAATAACGTTTCCGTTAAAGCTATTGTCTAAATATTCCCGAACAGCCAGGGTACTATGTGCCGGGCAGCCATCCATTAAAAAAAAAACCAAACCAAACCTATCTTCTTACATCCATCTGTAAAAAAATAATCATTATTATGGAATTTTTAGGTGTTACCTTTAAAATAATAAAAAAATATGTTTCAATTTTTTATTCATTTTTACCTTGCCCCCCCCCCCCTAAATTTCATTCTTCCGGCGCCCATGCATCCATTTGGTACCAAACTTCCTGATTTTCCCTAGCGGCACCATGTAAAGCAGGTAAAATATGATTTTCGAGTAGTTCCAAATAATATTCTGCATTTAAATTTCGCGTAAGAAATAATGGCCCGATAATATTGTGTCAGAATATCCCTGCCCAAACAATTACTTTTTGTGGATATTGCGTCCTTGTTTCGACAAACCTGTGTTGGTTTTCTTTGTTCCAATATCGATAATTTTGAACATTGGGTTCATTATTTAAGGTAAACGTGCATTCGTCAGCGAAACAAATGTTTTTTAAAAATTCCCTATCTGTGTTTGCTCTTTCCATCATATAAAAACAAAACGCCTGCCGCCGTATTTCGTCCCCATCTCGTAGCTCTTGGTGCTTTTCATATTTGAAGGAATAATATTTATGTGGTTTCAAAATTCGAAACGCTGTAGTGTGATCTATTCCTATTTCATCCTCAAGTTTCCTTGTGCTGATCTTTCCATCGTTCTCTTCCACGCTCAATAAAACTTCCAAGTCGGTATCATTTCTTGCATCTTCTCTTTGTTCCTGCCTTGCTTCATATCTGCAGTTATTTACTAGGGTACCTTTGGTCTCAAATCTCTGGATATTCCTTGCGATTGTAGATTTTCCAGGTATCGGTCTATTCCTTGTCTATTCGGATACAGAGCAGCAAACATGTCCGACACCTTTTGATAAATATTTCCTTGATAATACCATTTAATCATCGATACTTTTTCTTCGATAGTGTAATTCATGGCTAATATTTTCGATGTACGTATGAGTTTTTAATAATAATAAGCTAAATAGGTAAATTTCTGAAATGACAACTTCATTTGACAGTTATCTTTTACCTTGACTGGTGCTCATAAGTAAATTCAGGGCCATAAGAAAGGAGAAATATTTAAAAAAAAATCGGCGATAACTCGTAAACGGGCTAATCAAAAATATTTAAAGTTATTCTTTTGAATGTGGGTTTTAGTGCTCTTCAATAAACCTAAATAGAATTATTCTCTAAAATAATTAGGGAAGCCCACTGACCCCATTAAAATTTACATGGGATTTTTTATGTTCCGCTCGACAATGCAACACCTGGACCTATGTAAATTACGAACATAATTCTAATAACAAAAGTAAGATAATGTTTTCCTATAAATATTCTAATAGAAATATAATACTTTGTATTGTTATATAAAAATCATCTAATGCGTTTCAGGAAAACAATTAAAAAAATTGAAATTCAAGAGTAAACAATAATAATATGCAAGGTTAAAACATTTCTGTTATAGAAATATTTCTATGTGATACCTCTACGTCATCGTGATTTTGAATTTTTATAAATCAAATTATTAAAGATTAGTACCTATATGATATTGATATATATTTTGTTTTATTTCTTTTTAAATATTATCATAACCATATTTTTTTAGAACTGTTATTAAAAATACATATCAAAATTTAAAGCGTTGATGTGGATAGTTTGTTTAATATAATCAATTCCTGCTGTTTCGATGAATACTAAATGAATTGCAACAAGTTTATTGAAATAATGAGTTGAAACTAGTAAATAATATATAAAGTTGTAGATTCTCAGCGTTTGTCTTATTGTTCGTTTATAATATTTAACAAAATTGCTTCGGCAATAGTAGTATTGTGCATTTTCACCATAATAAATAATATTTGTGGTTTTCCTGCACCCCAAGAAGATAAAAAAGATTTAGAGAATTTAACATATGATACAGTAAGTAGAACTTTAATTAAACGTTCTCTAACCCAGTGTGAGTACATATTATCAAAGTAAAACCTCTGATCAATGACTTAACAATTCCCGGAATTGTTAAGTCCCGAAACATGTCAACCCCTGCTTTTTTTTGAAGCATTTAAATTTAAATAAACATCTTAAAGATTGTGAGTTATGTCCCCTTACCCATTTTCAGAGGTTTTACTCTTTGAGAACTTTAATTAACTAATAACACATGTCTAGTGGGTGTTTTTCAAAAGTGGCTCACTTCTATAACTTTTATTTTATTTTAGGTAAAGACACCAAATTTAGTGTATACCGGGTGCGTCTCAAAAGTGACTCACCCCTATAACTTTTTTATTGTTTCAGTTAAAAAAACGAGATTTGGTTGTTAGTATATGAAATTAGGATTGATTGACGTATTCAATTGTTGTCGGTCACTTCCTGTTTCAGCGGAAATGACTACAACTTTTGATTTTTAAATGGCACCCACGGTATTTGTTTACTTTATTCGATAGAAAATAACAACTGAATTGAATGACATAATATAATATGTCAACTTTTACATTTTCGCATATGGTTTATTTGGAATTATAACTTGCGGTTCGTAACGAAAATTTGACTCGAAATATCAAGTGTGTGGTATCAAATTACATACCTATTCGTAAAAAATGCTTTTTCCAGATATGCTAATGAACCACCCTCATTCCGTTTGAAAAAATTTTCTAACTGGCCAGGACAAGACACAAAAAACATTAGACCATAAAATCTATTTGTCCAAGGCTCCTCGATTAAGAATTAGTGTTTTTAACATAGCCATGGCACTTTAGATTGAATTTTAAAATACGAAGTTTTATTAAGCGAGAATGCAAAAGTTGACATATTATGATATGTCAGATATGTCATTCTATTCAGAATGTCATTTTCTATCGAATAAGTAAAAAAATACCAAGGGTGCCATTTGAAAACTTTGTCGTCATTTCCAGTGAAACAGGAAGTGGTCAAAAACAATTGAATACGTCAATCAATCCTAAGTTATATCATATACTAACAAACCGATTCTCCTTTTTTAATCTGAAAAACTAAAAAAGTTATAGGGGTGAGCCACTTTTGAGGCGCACCCGGTATAATATGACATAAATCAGGATTGATTGAGGTATTCAATTATTTCGGTCACTTTCTGTTTCACCAGAAATTACTACAACTTTTGATTTCCATTCAAGCATTTTTTTTACGAATAATGTGGTGCCACAAATACCTTATTTCGAGTCAAATTGTCGTTAAGCGTGGTCCAGACACAACGACTTATCGTATACGATTTGCTTGCGTCGACAAAACGTTACAGAAAAAACGTAGCGTGTGGCAGTAAGAGTGAATCAATTTTAGAACTGCATAAACACAGAAGACTGAGTTAATAGTTTCTAACGTAGTTCTGGACCATCTTGAATGTTGTCTGTAGTTAAGATGTTTAACTTCTCTCTTTCTTTTAACTTTATTTAAATAAATAGCCAAAACTAACCACAACAGTGTTTCTTGATGTGACAGAATACATAGACTGGACGACAAGAGGTTTTAAAATGGACACAACTTGGTCTGTGCCTTTTATCTGTAAAGTTTTGTCGACGCAAGCACATAGTACGATAAGACGTTCCGTGTGGACCGCGCTTTACATTTACGGCCATTTGAGTTTGAAATTTAAAATGTTATTTTATGAAACTGTCAAAAGTTGACAGATGATATGTCATTACATTCAGAATGTCATTTTCTATCAAATAAAGTAAAAATACCGACGGTACCATTTAAAAAGCAAAATTTGGAGTCATTTCCGGGGAAAGAGGAAGTGAACCAAATCAACTAAATACGTCAATAAAAACACATTTATGTCAAATACTAACATTCCAACAAATCTCGTATTTTTATATAAAAGAATTAAAATGTTATAGGGGTAAAAAGTTATACGCACAACCTTAATAATATAAATTATTTAATTTTATTATTTTTTTAATTTTCAGAATACCCCTCCACCTGATAATAAGGTAAGAGATTGTTGTAATTATATAATAAATTATTGATAATCATAAGCCTGTAATAATAATATAAAAACTATACATTAAATCTTTGAAAATTGGACCCCAATGATGGGTTTAAAAAAATATCCTGTAATGTTTTCCGATGTAGATAAAAAATATATTATTACATATTGCATGTATAAAAAATCAATAACTTTATTATAATAAGTACGCCAAGTTTAATATTTTTGAAGTGAAACTTCTTTACGCGCGCTGGGAGTAAAATTTCAAGG